ATGCGCAGGGGCTGTGAGGCCTGCGCGAGCGGCGAAGGGGAGCTGAAGGAGAGTGGGGCGGGGCGGACGGGTGAGCGAGCGGCGCCATGCCCCGCACACGGGAGTTACCCACGTTCGATGAGCTCGAGGTGCATGAGGTGAGACCCCAGCCCGCTGACGTCACGGCCCCCAGCTGAGGGGTTCTGAGCCCCCCCGCCCCGGGAGTGCCCCTCCCTCTTGTTGGCGCGATGATGTCATTGCCCCGGCTGAGGGCGCAGGGGGGCGCTGCCCTCAGTGTTGATGTGATGACGTCACGGCCCGGCTGAGAGGCGCGGGGAGGCTCTGCCCCTCGTGTTGACGCCACAGGCCCCGGCTGGGGGTCGACTCCCGTGATGACGTCACAGCCCCAGCTGAGGGGTGCGGGGTGGCTCTGCCCCTCATGATGACGTAACAGCTCCCGGCTGGGGGGTCTCACCCCCGTGATGACATCACAGCCCGGGGGGGCTGACTGCGATGACATCACAGCCCTGGCTGGGGAGGGGGGGCTGACCCCCATGATGATGTCATGGTCCTGGCTGAGGGGCGTAGGGGAGCCTGTGTCTGATGCCCCTTCCCCGCTGCCCCCCCCAGGTGCTGGTGAGCTCAGCGGTGCTGAAGGCAGCGGCCCACCACTATGGCTCACAGTGTGACCAGCCCAACAAGGAGTTTGCGCTGTGTCGCTGGGAGGAGAAGGACCCGCGCAAGTGCCTGCAAGAGGGCAAGGAGGTCAACCGCTGCGCCCTCAACTTCTTCAGGTCAGGTCAGGTCCACGCTGGGAGGAGGGGAGCAGCCAGCAGAGTGGGCTGGGAGCCATGGGCAGAGCAGCAGAGACAGGATGGGGGAGCTGAAGGCAGAGCGGCAAATGGCCAGGAGCAGAAAGGGCAGGGCATATGGGGCAGGGAGCAGAAGGCAGAGCAGCAGATTGGGCAGGGACCATGGGGGCAGGGAATGAAAGGCAGAGTGGGCAGGGGATAGGGGGTGGAAGGCAGAGCAGGCACGGAGCGGGAGGCAGAGCAGTAGAGGGCACAGGGAGCATGGGATGGAGCAGCAGCCGAGCAGGGAGCAGGAGGCCGAGCTGCAGATGGTGCAGGGACCACAGGATGGATCAGCAGCTGAGCGGGGAGCAAAAGGCAGAGCGGCAAGCCAGGCAGGGAAGGGGAATGGCATTTGGGGTCAGGGTGAGGTGCAGGGCTCACTTGTGGAGCTACCCCTGATCCCAAGAAAGGCAAGAGCATTGCTTCCTGAGGTTCTTGTTGCCGGGTCTGAGACTCGGACCCTGGAGGCCTTGTGCCTTCAGTTGAAGGGGTCCATGATGGGCTCAGCTCCTGTTGCTGAGCAGAAAGCAGTACGTTCGGGAGCAGATTTTGGTTGTTCGTGAAACGTGACCCAAGCTTTTCATTTCCCTTTCCCTTTACTTCTCTCTTGCAGTCTCGGCCTCGGGACCGTTTGGTTTGACTTAAATGTCTAAAGCAGATATGTTAACTTCAGAACCATTTAAACCAGCGGTTCCCAATCTATGGTATGGGTACTACCAGTGGTACACAGACAGCTTGTTAGTGGTACGTGTTAACAGATTTATTATAATTACTTGAAATGACAAAAATTTGCTGGTGGTACTGAAGGTTGTATCATTTTAAATTCGTACTGTGCAATCTGTCAGAGTTTGGGAACCGCTGCTTTAACCTAGAGGCAGCGATCTGTGCGCTTCGGCAGCTTTTAGCTGTGTGTTAAATCTTCACACTTGGTCTGCAGGTTGTTTTCCTCCTCCATTGTGTGTCCTTTCTCCTCTTGCAGTATGTTATTACAAGTGAGAACTTTACTTGCGTGACCAATATTATATACTTACAAGCACGTTGGACCATGTTCTTGTTCACTTGGGTCCTTGGGGGATCTCAGCACCTTTCTTTGTTAGGGGAGTGAGCACAATCCAGCCTTCTCCAGCTGCAGCATCTGAGTGCTACTGCAGCATAAACATTACCAGTGTGTAAAGAGTGTCTTGCAAAACTGAGAAGTCAAAACTGAGTTGGAATCAATTGAATATCTTTGTGCAGAATATGTTACTTTTTCTTATCAAAATAAGCATGAACTAATGAGACATGTACATGGAAAGAATAGTCTCTGATGGCTGTTCTCAGCTTAATCATATTAATTGTATGGCTTTTGTGGTTACTCAGTGGTTAATAACTACCTCCATTGAGAATGATATCAAACTATATATTAATATGCTCAGGCAGTAAGCTCTTCTTGAATGGAACTCTTTTAAAGTGCAGTGCACCTTATCAAAATAATTGTTATTACTCTAATTTTTCTTCCAAAGTTACTGGGCCACCTCTTTCTAGTTGGTGTTTGGATAGCTAACCTTGTAAATAACTAGTGTATTGCAACCATTAGGAAATTGGTGTATATGTTTTTTGGCTGAAATTAATGCAAGAGAAGTAAGGATCTTTGATGAGCTGTCTTCTCCAAAATCTTTTCCAGGAATGTAAAGCTGCACTGTGCAGAACCTTTTACTGAATACTGGACCTGTATTGACTATACCAACCTGCTGGAGCTTCGTCGATGCCGGAAACAGCAGGCAGCATTTGATGATTGTGTGCTGGAGAAGCTGGGCTGGGTGAGACCTGACCTGGGGCATTTGTCTAAGGTAATTCTTTGTTGAGAAATCCTATCCATGCCTTTGCCTGTCTCTCCTTGTTGGTGCTTGCTACTGCCTTTATGAAATCAAAGAAGAGTTAATGTCACTTCCCTTTGTGTACTTGCTCCAGCCTTCCTTGGATATTGTCACTCTTCAAGCACCGTATCTAAAACTATTTCTAACTGGTAGGCAAATGAGACATCAGGTTGGCTTAATGCTGTTGCAGCAATGATTTAAAAACCTTTTCATCAAATCCTGTTGTCCATAAAACCCACCTGTTTCTCTCCATCTTGTTTCAAATGTGGTCTGAAAGGTTTTCCTCTTTTATATGTACCTCTCCCTCCCTCTGTGTTGTTTCATTCTGCATGGTGTTTAATTCTCTAAAACATGGTTTAGGGTAGCCTTTTTTGAAACCTGCATCGTGATTTAATAAAAGGTGGACTTTATAATGTGCTAGTGCTTCTATTTCTGGTTTGATAGGTTCACTTGGACCTAGAATACTGGTGTGCTTCCAGGCTTGAATTAAGCTTCCCTTTCATACCAGTGTTTTTGAAAGTGTTAACATTTCTAATGCAGTCTAATGGAAATTGTTTCAGCATACCACGTGACGTTTATCCATTCCTCCTTAGCTGAAAGGCTTCAGTTTGTCAGTGTTTCCATATGAAGGGATGTTACGCCCGGGTTAGGTCTTAAATTACATCTTCTCCCGTGTAAAAAGTGGTAAGTTATTGATGAATTCTTAATGTCCTGCTGAAGCCTGTGAACTATAGTAAAATTGGACAACTTTCCAACACACTTTGAGGATAGGGACGTGTTGATTTTGAAACTGATCTGTAGCACTTGATTCAGAAATAGGTTATTTACTTAATTTTATTTGTTACTAATGATATTAGTATGACAGTGCCTTTAGCTCATATCTTTCTAATGTTTATTCCCTGTATAATGCTTCTTGTGTTCCAAAAAAATGACCAAAACTTGCCATATTTGACAAGTCTGGTCATTCACAGAGGAAGGAAAGCCACTAAGGACTAATGAACTTTTTGTTGTAGTTTGGTGTTATAGAGAAATGAAGCTTATTTCTAAAACTTACAATGCTGCCTTCATCTGCAAGCTGCAGCTTTGGTTTCATAGTTTCATAGATTTAGGGTCGGAAGGGACCT